GGCCTTTTTGAGACAGGGTCTCCCTGTAGCTCCAGCTAGCCTGGAACTCGCTATATAGACCAGGCTGGCCTCAAACTCACAGAGATCCGCCTGCCTCTGCCTCCCAAGTGCTGGAAGACTGCCATTTCCCTTATTGAATTGTCTTATCATGCACATTAAAAAATTATCCAAGCTCTCTTTTCTGTTCCATTGGTCTATATGTTTGCCTTTGGGCCAGTAGAACATTTTGATAACTGAAGATTTGTAGAAATTTTTTTTTTCTGTTGCTGAAGTTAGAATCCAGAGCCTTATACATGCTAGGCAAAGCTCTACCACTGAGCTACATCCCCAGGTCTGTAGTAACTTTGAGACCAAGAAGTGTGACCTCCTGTTTTGTTTTATTTTTTAATCATATCTTATCTTTTGTGATAATAATTTCCTTGCTTTTCTTTATAGTTTTATCACCTATCACAATAAAAAATTTATCACCTATCTATTAAAATTTATCACCTATCTAATAAAAATTTTATCACCTATCTATCACAATAAAAAATTATTATTCCCAGTGTTTAAACTTTATAGAAATGAAATTATATGGTGTGAATGCAGGATGATTGTTTCTTTCAGTATTAGTTTGGGAGACTTGTTTCCTTGTATATTTTTCGACTGTGTCTCTATGGCACATGTATTCATTCTGCTGGGATGGTACTTTGGGTAAAGATAGGGCCTAGCCAGGAAAACAAAAACCATATTATGTATCCCAGTAGAGGGGATGTAAATACCAGAAACTGGTTCCTCAGGGGTTGGAGTACTGAGAAGGCAGTGAGGAAGAGAACACTGAAACAATGCAAAACCCGGGCCGAGGGAACCACAATGAGGGAGCCCTACAGGGTGGGACTCAGACTGAGAAGACACCACAGAAGCTTCCACAGAGCTCATTCTTCCATGGGGCAGTCTCCAAGGCTGGTTCTCAGGAAGATGTATTATATATATAACATATATAGTTGTTGTTGTTTGTTTGTTTTTTCAGACAGGGTCTCCTTGTAGCCCTAGCTGGCTTGGAACTTGCTACGTAGACCAGGCTGGCCTAGAACTCACAAAGATCTGCCTGCCTCTGCCTCCTGAGACTGTGCACCACCATGCCCAGCTTATGTTCTTTTTGCTTTACTCTTAGCCAGCACATTTATTTATCATGTTGGATAACTAAACCTTAATGCTCGAAGAATCTGAACTCTCAGGGCCAGCGAGCTGGTTCAGCAGATAAAGTCACCTGCCAGCAAGACTGGCAACTTGAATTTGAACACTGAGAGCCACATGGTAGAACAGAACCAATTCCTGCAAGATGTCCTCTGATCTCCACACATGCACAGTGGCATGTATAAACAAACAAATAAGTAAAGGCTGAATAGTATTTCCAGTGGTAGAGGGACTCTGATAACAAAACAAAAAATGACTAATCCCTTCTCCTTTCCTCCTGCCTTTTGGCCTTTCTTTGCGTCTCCTCTTAGCAGAATCTGGGAGAAAGACAGTGATGGAGTTCAGGGAAATAAGACTTGAAATTGAAGGGCAATAAATAAATACCTGGGACTAGTCATACCCTTCCCTTACTTAGCTTCCACACGCCTTGCTCTATCTATAAGGATAATAATAACTTTGTGCTTTTGTCTAGGAAGATGCCACTGTCCTTTGCACAGATGAAGATGCTCTGGCACCCTCCCCCAACAGGGGGGATGCAAAGTTTCAACAGTGACAGAGTCCACTCTCTGTGGACTAATGCTCACCTGGTTCAGCTGCCATTCCTCCAGAGTATCCTGCAACCCAGTGACTAAGTTACAAAGGTTAATACCAATAACAATCCTTTTGTCAAGTTACAAGGGAAAAGAGGGAGAGGAAAATTAATATTCAGAGATAATATGGAATGCAAAACCATGAAGAAAAAGCATGCACAGGCCTGGGAAGATGGCTCAGTGGGTGAAGTGTTTGTTGTACAAACATAAAGACTTGAGTACAGATCCCCAGCACCCATGTGAAAAACTAGCATGGTGGTCTATGCCTGTAATCTCAGCATGGAGCAAGGGGTCTGTGGTAGAGGGTTAAGTGGAAATAGGAGGATTCCTGGGGCTTGCTGGCCAGCTAGGCTGGTGGAATAGGAAAGCTCCAGATTCAGTAAGAGATCCTGGCCACAATAAGGTGGATCTGGGTATGGTGACATATGCCTTAGTCTTAGTACTTGGGAGGCAGAGGCAGGCTGATCTCTGAGTTTTCAGGCCAGCCTTGTCTACAAAGCAGGTTCCAGGCCAGCTTGGGCTATATAGCAGGACCCTGTTTCAAACAAAACAAAACAAATCAACAAACAAATGAAAAATAAAGTGGAGAGCACTTGAGGAAGGATGGTTGACCTCTGGTATCTACACACACACACACACACACACACACACACACACACGTATACACAAACTACACAAAAAAGTATTCCCGTAGCTTCTATGATCCTCGTTTTTTCTTTCTTCCTTGTTTTGTTTCTTTGAGACAGGGTCTTATGTAACCCAGGCTGGCCTCAACTTGCAATCCTCCAGCTTCAGCCTCCCAAGGGCTTGGATTATAGGCGTGGGCTACTATGTCCAATAATCCTTATTTTTGTGGCCAGAAGTAGATATTTATTTATAAATTTCCTCTTCTATTATATTACTTATTTTTGATTTACTCTTAGCCAGCATGTTTATTTATTTATCAAGCTTGATAACTAAACCTTCATGCTCGAAGAATCTGAATTCTCAGGGCCAGTGAACTGGTTCAGCAGGTAAAGGCACCTGCCAGTAAGCCTGGTAGCTTAAATTTGAACCCGGAAACCTACATAGTAGAAGGAGACAACCAAGTCCTGAAAGTTGTTCTCTGATCCCCACACATGCACAGTGGCATGTGCACACAAATTAAATAAATAAATAAACTGACAAATAAATGCAATTTTTAAAAAATCTGAATTCTTAGAGTCAGATTACTAGCATTTCCTTTTTCTTTTTCTTTTTTTCTTTCTTTTTCTGGTCTTTTTGAGATAGGTTCTCTCTGTAGTCCCAGCTGGCCTAGAACTCACTTTGTAGATCAGGATAGCCTTGAACTCACAGAAATATGCCTGCCTCTGCCTCCCGAGTGC